TCTCGAAACCGAAATCAATATTTATATTTTGAGGTTTTCTGATTTAGGATTCTGTTTTGACTCATCACTGGTAGTGACGTTTTTACTAGTAGAAAACAAACGCATCAAAAATGTTTAGAAAATATTCATCATCAGGTAATGAATCTGATGTGATGAATTCTACAATATATCGATATTCAACGTTGAATCTTGTATATTTTATTCTACAATATCGATAATTGAAATTGACTGTGATGTGGTGAATATTAGAATTTATCGATATGCTACTTACATCACTACTTACTCTTTAGAAGTCACGTGGTATACGTAACTCAGTGATAACAATTACCTCTTTATTTATTTATTGATAACAACTATCGCAATGTCACTTATGTTTCCTCGTTCGAAGTCCAAACGTCATTGTAATTATTGCTCTCAGTCAGGCTTTCAAGAGCAGTGTGTAGAGTGTGATGTCGAAAAATGTATTCTCCTTTTCAAAATGGTTTCTACAACAAAGCATTGTTCTTTATAAAGGATTGCAATATAAGGTTGTCAATAATTTTATTACATATTGTTTCTTAACCAAACCATTGTGTCAATCATTCCCTGCTAATAACAGTTAAAATAACTTTAAAACATTATAAAAAAGTATTTCGTCATAGATACGACTATTGTTTACCGAAACAAACCATCAATTGGCGATGAGGAGTCTTTTATCTATTTCCACATACTAGAGGTCGTCCAATCGTCGAAAACTCGGCCAAAATATGAAATGTAACCAGACATCTCTATTTTTCACCCAAACGCTGTAAATAAAACATGTGATTGGAATTTCTTCCATATGTTTTGATTTTCTGTTTATATTTCGTTGTTACCTCGTCATCAGCATGGAAACCCATATTTTTATATGTTATTAATTAATTGTTGCGCTTATTTTTGAGCCTATTTCAATAATTTATGGATGGGTTCTGCACATCTACAGGAAAATGTCTTTCCAGCAGTATGCGCAGATTTTCATTGCAATGCACAAGCTGAGAAAAAAGGTTTTAAAGAAACATGCTCGCCTTATATAGATAGATTTAATATATTGTCAAAATAAAAACATAGCACACAGTGTTTATCTTCCGACCGGTTGAAGAATAATTGCGGCAGGTCACAGTTTTGGAGGAACCACATTCCATCGCGATGCCCGCAAAAACTTGTTTTTGAACTTCTTCAAGGGCCATCGCATGTTTGGAAGGTTAACTGTGACTAATGGAAAATTTTTAAACTATGCTGGAATTCTTCGGTTTACGAAAACCTCTAGTTTAGGCTTAGTTAATTGAATAGTACATTTAAAATTGCTTGATGTAAAGTGATTGTAGGGGACATTAGGATTGAATAGTTTATTAGAATGAGTTTAAATACTATCTCTTTAAATTCATAAATAAAACCTCGATACAAACATCAATATATAATTTAATAGAGGTAAGGGTATCTTTTAAATAAGGCCGAACAGCTTGGGTTTTGGAAAACCTTCTTCTTTAATTAAAGAACCATAGTTTCTGCGCACAAAAAAAAACAATCTGCATTTTCCATAATTATTAGTTTTTGATCTCTATTCCCATTTCAAGATGAGACAACTACAAAACTAAATGTTTGGCCGACATTGAAATCTTTGAACGAAATTGATATGTAATTATTAACAACACACATTTTCAAGTATAAATTTCAGCATAAATATGTTAAAAATGCAAAGTATAAAATGCACTACGAAGAGGTATGGGGTATTGTGTGAACAATATATTTCGGATATAAATAAAAATAAATCCTACTTAAACCCGCTGATGTAGCTCAACATTATCCAATATCTTTGTGGAAAGGCTGTTAACCTTAAAGCTTTACGGTAAAAAGCAATTTCTCTTTGGGGCTTTCGTATTCTTGTCATGTTCTTGTGGTGTGATTAACTATCATATATTTACACTGCGTGACTTAAATAACTATTTTAAGCACAGCTGTATTAGGTATATGGTCGAAAATTGAGTTCCAAAACAACAATAATTGGTATCGTACCTTATAAGTATTAGTTTTGACAACATTTTTTGCGAATTTCTCATTTTAATAATGCACTATTTCTATAGAATTTTGTGTAATATTGGAACCAGGACGGGTTTTGTCGTTTTAATGTACTCTGAGGCCAAAAATATTCCGTTAAAATTTATTCAAACCAGCACATTCGGACTATTGGAACGGGTTTTCCTCTAAATGCTGATTTTTCCTGTTTGAGGGGTAAAAATGGGAGTCTCCAATATTTCACACTCAGAATAAAAAAATGTACAATATGCTTCTAAACTATTTTGTAGAACATAAAAACAAAAAAATATTATGTCGAGGCGCTGCTGTACGTTTAATGGGTACGGAAAAAATTTCATAAAAACCTTTACTTAAAAAATTCAATGTTCTCTTGGAGAATAAGTGAAATGATGTTTGATTGCTTATATCATCTTAAGCAGCTTTAACAGCTTAACATAGCTGCTATTAACACTTGCCAAAATCCACCACCTTCCCTGTGGCAGCAAACCTAAGTACTCGTTTATCCGTGAGTTCTATGTTCCAAATGCAGAACGAATCTGACATATTGAAAGGATTATTTAATTGAGAATCTAATCAGGCAAATGGAAATTTGCTTAGTCTGCAGGTTTGCTGCAGTGGTAAAATTGTGTTATTGTTATAATATCATACTACTGGAAACGATTAAATAATGCGTAAAGTTTTTCCCTACAATGTTTGTAGGAAGTAGATTGTTTTACAGGGTTTTTAAAGGCAGTCTGCTGTTACCTTAACCTTCAGTAACACTCAACGTTATGTTCAATAACATAGTCGCTGATAAATCAATATTGGTGACATTGGCAATCGTCAATGTACACTTTTCAAGGGCTTGTATCATTAAAATTATGCAAGTTTTAATAGGTAAAAAAGAAAAAATGAAACGGGTAATGTGTGTAGAAAAAGAAACAGTTGCAGCTTTAAAAATTTCATTAATTCAAAATATTACTTAATCGATTTAATGGCAACTAGTGTACATGTTGCTCGAATTCGAGCAATTAAAGCATTACAGGAGTTATTTCAAAAAGAATAACAGACATATTTACAATGAGTTTAAAAGAGTCAACTCAAAGATCACCGGTGTGTAACTCAAACTATGTTTATCTTCGTTATTGATAAACCTAAAGCATTCCGGCCGGTTTTCCCCTTCTCAAAATGCCTCGCTGTACAGGCAACACAGGTCATTGATAGAGGGCCAATTGAGAACGAAAAGTCGTTTTGGGGTAGTGTTAGGGCCGGCGCATTTTTAACCTAATAGTTGAGATTGTCCAGGGTCAGGTGCTGACTTTAAGCCTATTACGCGTCACCGTTCTGTAGCTGCGGTCGTTATCACGATTGCGCCTCCTGTCTATGTTTCGTTGTCGTCACGTCGGAGGCATTTAAAAAAAAAAAACAACAAAAAAACAAATTATTGCTACACAAAACAACGATAAATGCACAAATTTAAGTAACAATCATGCTAACACGATCCGTCTTGGGGGTTATGTTTACACAAACTCAAATATAGTAAATAAATGTACTCAATGCGTTTCATAGGATTGAAAAATAAATAACAGCAATTAAATTATACAGCTGATCAAAATGTAAACAATTATGTTCTTCATAAGGATAACATGGGAACTTTAACAGCCACTGGGGCAAATCCCAAGGAACTTTTTCAAAAAAGTAAGGCCAGTTTGCAAATCTACGCGACACGCTCTTTCCAATGAGACATCAACGGATAAAATCGGAAATGGAAATGGCGGAGGAGTTCGACCGACAAAGTTTCATGTAGCGTATTAATTATATAGATGTGTTGAATGTCATGTTATTTATTTTTAAAGCTTTTACTTTTCTTTCCCATTCAACCTTTTCTTCAGTAGGATTACTATATTTTTAATTAAAAATAAATTGTAACTGTTGGTTTGTAATCACAATTATTCAAGTTAACTTGTCATGTCTGTATTTTGTATATATTTTCTTGTGCTTAGACTATTTTCTTGCCATTTGATTCGAAATTTGTTATAAATAACTAGTTGTATACCTTCAATAGCAGCTAAGAGTTGTACATAATGATATATACATTGAAATACTCATGTTAGATAGCATATTAGATTTTTCTTTGGTTACACAAAGCAGAAAAGCAAATGCTATTCTAAAATCAAATGTATTCCCCGAATATTTCTTCAAATTAAATGTTTACCTATTACTTAGGACTATTAAATTACATACTTTTGTGCAAGGTTTGATCTTATCTTTATCAGTCAATAATATAGGTGGGTAAAGCTCCCAAATTTTTCACAAATACCTATTATTAATTCACTATAGCAATCATTAACCATCAAAAATGAGTAAGCGGTTCAAAAAGGAAAGGCATCACACATTAAAAACGAAACAAAGTAGTTTTCACGTGAACAGATAGTTAAAGAAAGTGCTCAAAATTACAAGCAGAAGCGAAGATTTCCATTTCCATGTGTTCGTGTGATAACATACAATCGCCTCCAGAAATATGCTGAAAACACAGCATGCGGTCACGGGAAATAGTTACATATAACGAAAAGAAATTCGCAAACCAATTTTCTAAGTTCATTACAAACTTTCTGTTGTGAAAAATTAATTTTATATTTGTTTTCTATGACTTAACCAATACGACTTGTATTGTTATTCCTGCAGAAAAAAATACTCTATTTTAGTTCTGTTGTTTCGAGGTCCTCTAGTATCATATTACATCTAGTGTATCTCTACAAAATTGTTACTTCAAAGATATTCATAAAACATAGATAACAATTTCTATCAGTTATTTTAAACCTGACTAAATTACAAACCCACAACAAACTTTTTACTGAACAGATTGTGAACTATTATTTTTTAAATACAAAAATGTATGATAGAAACTAAAGCCACTATCTAGTTTAGTTTGAATTGTAGTTTATTAAATATTTAATTTTATTTTTCAGATGTCACATGTTTACCGCAGGCGAAGCCAGATGATGCAACTTCTCAAACCGATAGTTCAGTCAACTTTTACATATATCCTACGTAAGTTGGAAATTTAGCATTAAGCTTCAATAATATATTCAAATATACGGTTCCCTGTACAGAAGTTCATACTGTTATGTTGGTCCAATCTTTAATTATATAGAATCTTTGAATTGTGAAATATTTTACTGTTTTGATTCCTATACAGAATAGGCTATACTTGCAGATAACAATTAATTATTGGCTCAGACATTGCAAACTAGATAATGGCAAAGTAAATTTATGTGAACTGTTTTTTTCATTGGGCTGACCTTTAAGAGTTAGAGAATTCATATATGAAAAGGTACATTTTCTTTGTACACCGATAACTTATGTTTCGATAGTGTATTGATCTAGGTCGGTGAAAGGAAAGGGCTTGGCTCAGGCACTCCATCTTTGGTCGTTTCTTGTCGATCTATCAAAACCACATACCTGAGATGAATGAATCCAGTTTAGTACAAATATGTGATAAATTATCTAGTGACACATTTATGAATATTTCCATTTCCAGTCCTTATGTGTAACATGTAAACTTATCAATACAAACTGAACTGGTATCCGTTGTGTAAATAGATACATAGATTTCAATCCGTTGGCTTTGCATAACCCATGGATGTTACAATAAAACAAGTTTATACCACAAATAAACACTTATGTACATTTTACAATTTATAAGCTACATCTCTGAGAAATCCGATATTAGTAGATCTATATTTTATTCGTAATATAATTTGTAATGTAACCCAGTTTCAAGAACAGTTTTAATAAATTAATACTACAAGTTTAAATGTATTTCAATAAATTTAATAAAAATGATAAGTAACATTTTATCATTTTTGGTTCCATATATATTTTAATACTTAATTTTGGTGCTATAAATAAAAACATTTTACATTCTTAGTGGTCGATTCTCCTTGTATGGTCAGAACATGGTCAATTCTAATGAATGAATTGAGGGAATGTGTTGAATGAGTTGAAATTGTTGATCACTTACGTGATTTCGCCTTAATGTTCCAATATTTAAAAGATTCGTGCCATAATAAAAGCTTAACTTTTTTGAATACTCTTTACTATGTCCAACATTCTAAATAGTTAAGAATACCTAGAATAATAAATCTATCAATGATAAATTGCCAATGAATACCAATCTTCCCTGCATAAATGTCTTAAATTTTCAGACCAGATTCAGTAGACACGCCAATTGTAGATGATCCGAGAGTGCTTCAAGACGGTCAACCCCTTACAATAGTCATCCATGGATTCAAAGGGGATCACACAGCTCGCTCAATGAACGCTATAAAAGAAGGTAAACAATATTCTTGAGTTGAAATGTTTACTCTAGCTACTGAAGAAGACTATAGATTCAGTCAACAATGGTTAAAGCTCTACGAACACTGAGCTAGAGATCGCTAGAGACCGAGAGACGTTGAACGCCATATGAACTAGGGGTAAAGTACATTGGAACTAGAAGCTTAGGGGATTATGGAATCGTAATAAAGCCATAAGCCAATAACCTGGTTGATTCCTCTAGTCGTACCAACATTACAAAACTATACAGCGTGTCGATTTTCTAGCAGAGTTTCCTTACCATTGCTGCCTCCAGTTGTATTTCTTCACGGACTAGGCACGGTTGGGTTGCAGTGGAAAGGTCAAGTTTCAGGTTGGCAACAATGTCAATGCCAGACTGTGGTCAGCTGATTGCGGCATTCCTGTGGTGGCAGAACTGCTGACGAGTGGGTAATTTTGCTGACGTATTTTCCAGCGAAGTTGAAGGTTGTTTTGTGACCTGTGATTCCCGACAGTGTGTTATGTCAACGTGGTGTTGTGGATAGTCATCAAAACAATTAAGTAAACCATGGCGTGAAGAAAATGTTTTTATTTGCTATGTTTACTAAATTCATCTCGCAATAAAGAGAACGAATTAAGATAGCAAAGTTTAGATTATCCATCGATGAAAGTAATGTTGAGTCTTTCTATAAAAATGAACTAATGACATCAATGGTGAAGCTTGTAGTACATGTAATAATGCTTATAGGTCCCAATAAATTAACTATAATCTTTTGGCCAATTTCACATAGGGTGGTAATAAAGTTCGAAGACAGTTAAATATTTTCTAAACGAAAACAGATAAGTCAATAAGATTTGGTACATCAACACCACACATAAAAATCTACTTTTTTAATATCAATTTTCTGTCATATCATGGGGACGTCCCGCAAGGAGACTGAAGGAAATCTTAAATAGAAGCATAGATTGACATGTACATCAAATTAAAAGTCTTTACTAGTAGAATATAATGCCGCAAATTTGAACTCGAACGGACAACCAAGTCAAGAATGACAGTGGTTCAAAGATTCATTTAATTTGCATTGCTATTTACGCTTACTCCTAAGGGGGCACAGACCTAGGAATCGGAAGAAAATTGTTAACCTAAGCATAGGTCGATATGCACATCAAATTAAAGGTCTTCACTAGTAGATTACAATGCCGTAAATTCAAGCTCAAAAGAACGCCTAAGTAAAAAATGGCAGTCGTTCAAAGATTCAAAATGACAGATTCAAGAAATCTTTGAATGGTTGCCATTTTGTGCGGGATCAACCTTTATTCCTTTCATATTGACCTATGCTTCCGTTAAAGATTTTCTTCCGACTCCTTGTAGGCCGTCCCCCTGAAGAGTCATATAATCACTGAATATGTGTTAAAATAAAGTTTTATGCTCTGTAACTTTGTACCAAGTATTGTAGCTCTATCTACATTATTTTTCAAAATATTTAACCGTCTTTGGAATTTATGACCACCCTGTATAGAGAATAACTATTACCAGAGGTCTCATAGAAAGACCTAGACCCGGTACCGATTCACTATTTTGTTTTGAGGTCCCTAGAGACCAAAAACACCAATAGAGAGTAAGTGAACTTTTGTGGTTTACTTTTATAGTCATATTTTGATTAAACTTAACAAGTATATTTGTTTTACACTAAGCCTATATATATATTTAATAAAATAAGCCTAGCTTATATTTTACTAAAAATGCACTTAATTACCCTCCTATCACAGCAATCCTAGGTACTGCTTAAACCTAATGTTATTCAAATATATTAAGTGAAAATCATATCAGATTAATGTAAATTTCACAGATTTTGTAAATTATGCAGATTTGCTGTGGCGATGGTATTTTTTTATTTATGTTCAACCTTCCTGAATTGTGTAAATGAATATTTCATATTTAAATTGTAACGATATTTAGATGAAAACTAATGCATGACTGAATAACAATGTTTCATATTCAAGACAAAAGGATTTTATCTAAACCATTTAATCTCAGTGGAAATGTGAACACTGATGTCTTTGTTTCGTTTCAACCTTAAACAATAGGCTTGTATCTACCAGCATGTATTTCCATACAAGAATAAACAGATGCCAACAACAGAAAAGCCAGGTGTTGCAGCTAAATCTATGTAAACAGCTGTTTGTGACATTTCCCGCCAATAAATGTATCACTCACACCCGTCAGGTCTGCATCATCCCTGTTGTGCAGATGAAAATAAATTACTGACGAATATATCATTACTCACTGATGCATTAGACCGATGGACAGCTGAGTAAGTTGTTTTTTTGTCCTACACAAATTTGATTAAACGAGACTGGTTTTGGCGTTTTGGTTAGATGATGGATTCGTGGTCGGATCATATAATATGCAATTTGATTATATTACAAGACTTGAACGCTTACAATAGTTTGGTTCTTAGAATTAACCATATATATTTAGGGAGCCTACACACTAGAAATCCAAAGAAAAATAGTATATGTAATTGTGAAATTCAAGTATTAATTAAGGAAAGTATTTTCAAACATCATTATTCCCCAAGTACAGTAATAGAATCAAACTAAACTGTTAATCCTCCTAATCCTATAATTTCAAATCATTGTTTAGCTATACAAGTCTATTAGAATTGTAGTAACAGTGATATATGCCAAGAAAATGTCCTAAAATGCAAAACTGCTATGGGATTTAGAAACTTGTATAAATAATGACAAAATTTTCGAAAATCATGATTTTAAACTTTTTCCTTTCCCTAGCCCTTCTGATGTCAGGAGCCTCCAACGTTGTGGTGATGGACTGGAGTATCTTGGCTGACGACCCCAGTGACTCCGCACTGACGGCGTACCACGAGGTGAGAGACAAAGGGGTAGCGGAGGCTGCTGCCCAGGCGGCTGCGTGGATAAGCATGGTCATGGACAGCAAGAGTATCAGCCCCGAAGACGTTCACCTGGTCGGCTTTAGTCTGGGAGCTCACGTATCTGGGATCATAGGGCATAACCTCAACAACTCACTAGGGAGAATAACAGGTCAGTCAGGATATTTCAAGGAGTTAAAAGGATTGTTTGCTGCTTAAGTTAGTTATAAAGTGAGATGCCTGAACTTCTTACCGAATAAAATCAGCTGTTCATCGATTTAGGGCCATTCAGTAAGCCCAATGGCATATGAAACCTGGGTCTTTTGTGTGTTACTAAACAAAAGCTACATACTGACTTTTCTCTTTAGACACGTGATCATATGAAACAAATCCTTTCAGTAGAATCTTGAAAGTGGTTTCAGCACCATCCACTTCCTGCAGATCCAGACCGGTTTAACCGATGTTTTGATTAAAATTGCCCAGTTAAAGAAATTAAACTTCTGCCGGATGTACATAGTCCGGATAGAAAAGAGTATATTGTACTGACATTTATTATCATCTATTGGTGGCCTTGTGATTACTACGTGAGCATTATATCTGCTCAGTTACTACATGTTAAGTGTTATGTTTACATTAGAACTTTTTGTGCTGAATTTTAGGTTTGAATTCTGATTGGAGATACCTATGGTTGTTACCAAATTGGATTCCTCCTTTTTCCTTACAAAAACGTCACCGGTTAATCATGAGTATTGCTGTTAGCTTTTGAGTTTTGGTAACTGGGTCCATCTCTCTCTGATCATTTACCTTGTTAAAATTATATTTGCTAAATAAACAGTTGATGTAAGTAGGTGGAAAATCTACACAACACTGAAATTTAAATCCTAAAAACATGGCATTTTCCTTAAATAAATTATTGTTAAAGTACTTGTAAGGGAGAGAGCCTCCTTTCATAAAAGCTAAACATGTTCTAATTAAGGACATGTGTTAAGCTCCCATGTTCTGGCGAGTATTAGGTTCTCAGAACCAATATACTCGAGGCTATTGGTTGATATATTGACCTGGATAGTAAAACAAACTAGACCAATAGTAAACATTCTCGGTATTTATGGAATGTTATATGTATGGTTGCATTCTTTTATTTTCTACACTCCATAATGGACAGATTATTTTTTCTCCCAAATATTTATTATGATACTAAAATCATTACTTCTTGTGTTAAATGTCTTTACTGTGAACTTGGAATACGTCAAATAAATTAGTGTCTTTCAAATTTGCTGCATTATGTTGATCCTAAGTTTTATATTTGATATTTTTTAAATAGCGTGCTAAAAAATTTGCGTCCTGTAGTAAAACTTCAAAAGTTTTTGTATAAGATTCGATTCCCGGCCACCCACAAAACGTTATGCTTTTGGACCGATTTCCCTAAAAAAAACGTATAAGCCAACTATGACTTAAATTATTAAAATTCCACTGACGTAGAAAAAAGAGTTAAATTAAATCATTAAGTATTAAACTCATATAGGTAATATTGACCAAGAAATATATGTACCAAACGTACCTCTTTGTCAAATTACAAATATACACCCTAAAATATAGTTTACATCTGCTACAACAGTGTTCCTTTGAAAACTCCATTAAATATAAATGAAGTCAATACTGATTGTTTCAAGTACTTCTAAAGGTCAAAGGTTGATAAACTAGATTAGAGGTCAATGTTCGTCGAACTTCCTACATGCTATTACATTAGCAAACCGCTTTGGTATTAAACATTTCCAACATTTAGCTAATCTTACCTCTTCTCGTAGGTGGTTTTATCAAAGTTACTCCAGAACGCAAATCAATAAATTTTACAAGCCATAATATTTGCTCAAATCAATGTTAGTTTCAACAAAATAACAAGTTGTTTATGACGTAGAGACAGTCTTGTTTTGACAAGGGTTTTGTAAAAAAAGCCCAATTAGCTTTATCAATGGTGTAATGACAATCTAAATCAACAAAAACTGTTTCTCTGAAATAGGAAAAGCTTGGATTTCTAAAATAGAATATTTGAGTGAACTCCCTTTCGTGGTCAATTTGTTTATGTCAAACTTACTTAGAGGTCACATAAATTACTTACTTACTCTTACTCCTGTGGCCATTAAATACCAAGGCGGTCTTTGGCCTCGCCAAACATGTGCCTCCAGGATCCTCTGTCTTCTGTCAGCTCCAGGTCTGCTCCCATTTTTCTTAGGCCTTCGTAACCTCGTCAAACCATCTCTTGGTCTTCAATGGTCTCTTGTCCTCTAAAGTACCTCTCAACCATACTTTACCATATCCTTACCACAATATTTGGTTCCTTATAGAAGGAAAAGCAAATACAGGGTGATTGATATAAGTGTGCCAGCCGTTTTATTCGAAAACTATAAGAGATATCAAAAAAAGTTAAATGGTAAGTGCCTTGGATTTTTTATTAAAAAAATTATAGTCAAGTAAAAAAAATTATTTTAGCCGCCATTTTTCAAATATGGCCACCAACTTTGATTTTTTTTTTATGGAACACCCTGTATTTTATGATGTATTCTGGTAAAAAAAGTAATTTTAAGACGATTTTATACTTGTGATTTTTTTCATAAACCTAACCGTTTCAAAGATGTTCCGTAAAAAGAAATCAGAGTTGGCGGTCATATTGGAAAAATGGTGGCTAAAATAATTTTTTTGACTTGACTACAATTTTTTTAATAAAAAATCCAAGGCACTTACCATTTTACTTTTTTTGATATCTCTTATAGTTTTCGAATAAAATGGCTGGCACACTTATATCAATCACCCTGTATTTATCCTAAAACAGTATGCAGCATTAGCACCATTATATTTGATTTAATACATTACTGTAACGACTTTCTTTGTTTTGTTTTGTGACTAGGTCTTGATCCACCGAAATTTGGATACGAGAAGATCCACAAACAGCATCGCCTGGACAAGGGAGATGCTATGTTCGTCAACGCTATTCATACTTCCGGAGGAATCCTTAGTTACACAGAGAAAGACCCCATTGGACACGTAGACTTCTTTCCCAACGGAGATACAGTTCCACAGAAGGGATGTCCATATGAAAACCCCATTGATATAAGTAAGAGCCTGTTAAGTATAAGTATAATGCTACTTTACACCCTTAGCAAAATTGGATTTTCCTTGAACGCAGGTAACATACATATGTTCACGGGCACCCCTATATTGCTGGTATAGGTGTTTAGTTTGTTAAGTATTTTTAAGGCTTTGTACATAGGTTATTAGTATGTGTGGTGCTATAAGAGACGATAGGAAATGCATATAGTTTTTATTTTCTGGGGACGTCATTCACCCGTTTTCCTATTTTATTTCTTTCTAGGTTCTAAAGCGATATTGTTTTTTCACTCTTCTTCAGGATAGGTCCAGAGGTGGTTGCGGCAGCACTATTCAGATTAAATACTTTGGTGATTGACGGGATTTGAACCCTGGATCTCGGAAACCAAATTCCCCCACTTTACCAGTAGAGAAGCTCCCCTACTATGAATCCCACTACACAAATTAGTCCTCTTTTTAATTATGTCAATAAGTGTTTCTCCTCATCTAAGGCATCAACTGATCTCCACACAAAGATATTTACTCCAATTATGAAGAAACTGTACACATCACAAATGTTTTCCCGAATAATAAATCTAGCACAAACAGTTATCTGCAATACTGTTGGTACTATCGAAGATCAGAACGTAATAGAATTCTGTGTAATAATCTTATATTCAGCATTTGTTAAACTTAATGAATTAAAACGAGAAATATTTAAAAACTCTTCCACTAGGATAGCTAAAACCAATTACACTCCTTATCCCATTCTTCACTTTTAATCAAACAGGATTTCTGTGAATTTATCTAACCCTAATATCTTACTCATACTCTGGATGTGTGTCGCAGTGGATCTGCTCCAATATTAATCGGAGGGATTGCTTTCGTGACAAATTGTACGGTCATTTTCAATAAGTCTTTGTCTAATTTCACAAGATTGATAAACAATTCTTTTAATACTAAATATGTATCTGGATGTTGCTACTAAGAGAGTATTGCTGTTATTATTTAAAAAATAAGTGATTACAACGTCATCATTATACGTAGTTGATTAGTTACTTTGACTTTTTATCTACAAAAATTTACGTTATTATTTGTTCAACTAGGAAATCTCTATAGAATAAATACTATTTTAAACCTGTTCATTCTTTCAACTGTTTATAATTTCAATAATTTATGATAATTTTACAAATTTATACTTACTTTATCTACAGTGGTCACTATGGTCCACTAGAACTTTATAGGTTTTTACAAAAATTAGAGACTCGTACAAAAATCACCTCTAAATCATGTATTGTTTCACAGTTACTTGCAGCCATTACATGGCGTTCGCTCTGTTTGCCGAGTCGATATTCCACAAGAACGCTCTTATCGCCACAGCTTGTGATACCTGGGCGTCCTTCAACAAAGGTCACTGCAGCAACGGGACCCAAGCCCCCATGGGGTACGCCACCCCTCCCACGTGAGTAAAAACCTACTAAACTTGAAAGTGCTAAAAAAATGAAAAAAAGAGGAAATTTATGCTACAACCAACTCCTAATCAAGGGTAGACTTAAAAATGATGTTCCCCAGTTACGGTTACAGAGAATGTCCTTTCTTTGACTAATTAATGTTTTTCATTAAAGGTTAAAGCTAAACACTAAAGGTCATCTTCAGTATCTAGGACTTGTGAAAAGTACAAAAAAATAGTTAGGTGTGCCTGATATATGATCTAACGTGAATGAGTTCGCAGCTGTAATCAATTTCGTCAATATAAAAGAGGTATGGACTTGCCAATGTACCAAAGTGTTTAAATCTTTAGTATACTCGTGATATACGTTGTGCTTAACACATTTATTTCATATGGAAGATACTATTACCAATTTTGAAGTCAATTAAATATATTTCACGTATTTTTCTAGGTAGCATTCCTTAGGTTCTTCAAACTATCTATAGCTCATTCTCCTACTACATAGTTTGTGAAATTGTAAATGGATACATTTTTAGATTGATTTAACAACTGCTAACACAATAAGTGCTAGCAAATGACCAGCAAAAATATAATTCTGTGCATTGTGATAGTTTTCCTTTTTAAAATTTTCTATATAAGTCCACGTGACAATTCTAAAAAAATATATATCTAATAAAACTTACGAAAAATAAAACAGCTTGCGTTCCACGTTTTTCAGAACCAGAGGTAAGTTCTTCACGAGTACCAAGAGCAAACCTCCCTATGGAGAAGAGGATCCGGAGAATCCCCTTCCAGACAACATCAAAAGTCTCCTGGTTTACAACACCAGTGAGGCCTTCATACAACCTAAGGACGTTGTCAACTTCCTAACACACAAAGACAAGAAGGACACCAGCATGCCCTTAGCAGATGATCCAGGAGCTAGTGATTCAGGGGTCATGAAGGTCAAGGGGGGGTCAAAAACAACTACAACCCCAGATCCTCCGGCGTTCCAAAACAGTGGAAGCAGCCTTTTGGCAGACGCTTTAGGCTTTATAGCAACCTCTTTAGCAGGGTACGAGTTCGTTCAACTATTGTGGAGCTGGTGGAGTAGCAGATAGGGATAATGTTAGGAAAGATGAATTTTAGGAAATTTTACTCGTGGTTGTGATCATGCCTTTTAATTAGATCAAGAAATGAGTGTCTGTTACGGTTAAAACCGAAGATACGGGAAACGTGAATATAAAGTGTATTTTAAACTATTTTTAAGTATTTATTTAAAGTGATTCGAATTTTTAAGTGTACTTTAAGTGCATGGGTTCAAAATACAACACAGCAATCATTTTCAATATTTTTCTCTGAAGATTAATCACGGAACTCCTAAGAGTATTCATGTCATATATGCATAATTTGTTTTTATTAACGAGTGGTCGTAATGATTTGTTATGTGATTGAGGGCTTGTACACACTAAACTTCAAACTTCAAAACTGTAAACTTATCAAAACTTGTTATCGAAGATCATGCTGAAATATATGAAGAGAGACTTAAATGTTCTAACATGTCGAATAAGCATATATCTTGCTTAGCTTTAATAAACTAAAACATGGTTTAAGATCTGGATACAGAAATTTAAAATTCTGTTTTCTGAGAAAATTGAAATATTTAACGAATCGTCATGGGGAACATCCTGCTTCAAATCCTCTCGGGTTTCCCCATGACTTCCTCGTGTCAAAATATTAAAATAATACCCATATAAAAGGTCCGAGATATTAAGTGCCTTCTAATATTCGCAATGATATCAATTATTTAAGAAGGGGACTCCACTAAGTGCGTATTTTAACCCTAATATGAGTGAAGGATAAGTGTGGTATGAGAGGTGCGATCTTGTAATCTTGTTAGTTACTAAGGCCGACATGTTCCTTAGTTCCTTAGGCACAGCTGTTAATTAATAGCTCATACAGCTAATAAACACTAAGAGACATACAGTTTATAGTGGAATCTGGACAAAATTTCATCCTTGTACTTAACGAATTGGTCCAATTATCAGGATAGTTCTGCGGATAGTCGTAGTCTCACTAGTGCTGGCGTCCACATCAGGGAGCATCGCATTTTTTTTAAGATACCACGTGTGTTAAAATTATTTAAATATGTGATATTTAATGCTTAATTTATTCAGCCACAACTTATCATTTTCGGTTGCAATAGATGTATGCTTTTTTTGTCCTTGTGCAATTTCCTGCATGATAACATCACATTTCTAATTAGTTGATTTTGTAAGAAGCTGTAAGTAATATAACAAATGATAATTCTCGTTCACAATTCTGCTTCAATAAAGCATTGTGGAAAGGTATTGAGAAGTGATAGTCAAAGCAATTAACCTTGAGAGTTGTAGGTTTTTCTCTCTAAGTCAATATGTTTTGACCTTTTGTCTTTCATTTCACTGTATTTCTTGACGATAGAACATGTTACCTCTAGTTGTATGGTTAAAATGTTCTAGTGCCTTACACGGTGTCTTTATACAATTTTAGCACAAAAAAGACTCTAAGTATAATAAGTTTAATAGGAATGAGCAGTATTGATGCTCAAAGCAAAATGAACAATCTTTTTTTACCAAAACTAATCTTGCAAATTTATGATAGTAACTGAATTAGTCTACTTTTAAACCAAGACAAAAAATATTATATAATATTGAGGATTCAGTGGCTGTTTATATTTCAGTTTTTAAAAGAATTTTTTTTGTTCATATAGAGTTAAACAAATTGTTTTTACCTTATAATTTTCCAACAAAATCATATTTTTTTATTAGTCATGTGCTCAACTTCATTGATAAAAAATTATTGTGGTGAAAATGTGATTTTCTTGCGATGGTCTTACTTGGTCTTACTTACTTAATTTTAATTTATACCATGACAATTAAGTTAGCTGTATTTTTAAGAAAAACATTCAGATATTGACGATTTGTACCCATCCAGATAGAAATATAGTTGCTGTAATTGAATCATGTTAACATAAAAATGTGATAGTAGTAATTAATGGTAAGAGTACAAACATTCAATAAACTACATAATTTCTTATTCCAAATTATGAACAAATGTATTGGTACTTATGGTGAATAAAATGTAAAAGTCCCAAATAATAACCTAACATTTTTACTGCAAAATGTTATACATTTATTGTATAATGGTGTGTAAATTATTTGTTACCTTCTTCGAAAATGTGTACATAGCTAGGACATAGGTAGTTTCACCAAAGAATATTTTGTATATATTAAAAAATTAAAATATGTTGGACTCAATTTATTTTCCCAAAACATTCAGTATAGTATTAGGTATACTAAATAGTACCACACAACAAATCAAATCAAAATAGCATTTATTCCGCCAAAATATTTACAAATTACAAATCATGTTAGTACCATACAGAAATGTTTACAATATTGTTTGGTATTTTAATAATATAAAATTTAATATAAACATAAACATATAAAAAAGCTTTTTAAATTAGCGAAATATCTTCCACAAAGAAGGAATACCTCTGTGTGTGGAAGAGAGTCGTATTGTATATATTTATAATTTTTTTAAGCTAAGTGATGAAGAAAAAAAAAGTTATTTTAGAAAAAAAAAATGATTTTGGAATAATAGATACGCTGGAGGACTTAATGGTAAGTGAGTGTAATAGCTATGTAATAGCTAACAACATAGCTACAGTTGATAAATACATGATTCTAAACACATTAAATGCTAAATAATTATTCGTTTTAATATGACGACCACCAAAATAGGCAACTAGAAGGTGTCATTTTTGTAATATGATTGAGTTTGTAGAACAAAGAGATATTATTTGACAATGTATGTATTTTTATTCTCTGGTTGGGACCATCCACTCTTACACCAGACAAGACTATCAATAAATACATAGGCTACATTTTTGCACTTTAATAGTGGCTTGGTATTTTTAAATAACTTATTACTAAAAGTATATTAGGCCTACTTATACAAATAATACACTTGAAAACGAAATATCTTTCCTGTAACACCAAATACGCTTGCTAAAAAAATATACACTTTTGAATTTTTGAATTTTTGTGAGGAATAACCACACTAGCCTGGTTTTATTCAATGCGTCCGATTAAAACAGTTTTCATATAGAAATAAATATTTAATGTCTTTACAAAAAGCTTTATTTAAAACTAATTCTTTAATTTGCGCTCATTTATTTTTTTTTACCTTTCAATTGTTTTTTTTTTGCTTGAACATTAAATGATTTGTTATCCATTATTGTACGATATGCATAATTTGCGATTAATTATTACTAATTCTAGTAAGTATTCAATTAACTTGGCTAATTAACGCATATTTTTCATATAAATAGTCCAGTATTTTTAGAGGGAGAGAGAAAGGAAGAAAGTAGAAAATCGTCCTTCACAAAAGAGCTTGCAAGGTTCAATATGTTTGTTTGCCATCCTCTCCAAATTCAGATCTTTGGACGCTTCTTTCCATAAATATTTAAACTCTGTTGAAATTCACATCCTTTGGGTTGAAAGATATGCAATTGTATTTTAATTTGAGTCATTAAATATCCTCAAAATAATTTCTCAATGCTGTTAAATTATGAGGCTCTTTGATTTTAAATAAAATGGACTGTATTAATAATTTAAAGTTGATATTTTTGTAAAAAATTAGCTATTCAATATTTGGACGTTTAAAAATATTAGCTATTTTTCTTGAATTTATATGATACGATTTTCTTAGTAAATTTACATCTGTTGATTGTGTGTTAAAAGTAATGACCTTTGTATTGGGAGGGCGAGCTATCCAAAATGTTTATGTTGTATATGTTTTTTTCCATAGTACTCACCTATCCATCAAAATGTTGGGTGAGCTATCCAAACATTTTTATGTTGTATATGTTTTTTTTATAGTGTTCGTCTAACCATCAAAATTTTGCTGTTGATAAAATGAAAATTCTGTAGCCTTTTGATCGTTTGTAACTGGATCTAGCAGTCCCTGATCATTAATAAATAACCATCACTGCTACAAGTAATGATAATCATTAACATTTCTGACCATTGGGTTTTTATAACTATGTTACGACCATATTACATAGTGGTACCAATACAATATATGATTTCTTTCGTAATGTTTTTTACAGTATACTACCAATGAAGTTTCAGTTGATTTGTCATTACAATTGAAAATTTTAATTTCCCCCGATCAACCCTTAAAGTGGAAGGGGGGTCTAATTTAGATTTCCTGAAAAATGCTAGAACGTTCACCATAATGATATGTTGAAGTTGCCAAATTTTATCTTAAGCCGTTTAATATATTTTTGGGTGTGTTAAGACCTTTTAAACACCTGTACGTACAGGCCTAAGTATATTAAATGTTGTAGCCCAGGGAACCTAATATGTTTCACTTTTTTTACTATTTAAGATTTTGTATTTATTCTTAAAGTTAAACATTTTTGAGTAACACAAGGTAAACTAAATAAATATCTGAAAAATGTCTTTAAAATAAATTTTTATTAATAATCAATTTCATGATCATGTCAAAAACTTCAATATATAATGTAATATTATATAAATAATATTAATGACTTGAGACCTTCGACTTCACATTTGAATAAACTTACTAAGCAACATACAAAACTATATCCAAAGATGAACTGTAACAGTTTCCAGTTGGTTGTAACAGTTTATTCATGAACATTCTTTGAATTCCAACACCTATCCAGCAACATCCTTCAACAAAAGAATTTAATAACTTTGTCAATAAGGTTAGGAATTCAGGAATCGTGACACTATATTAATTACCATTCCCGCCGTCTCTTAAAAGTATCAGAATCAATATTCGTTATGTCCTCAAATTTTGGACTTAACTTAAATAAATTTAAATTAGTTTTGTTCGTATAAGAGTTTAAGCTGTGGTTTTTTTAAGTTAGTTTTGACACAAAATGAGAAAGTATCAATGATAAATATAATGTTTACCATATATATTAATTATTCATATATATTAATTATTCAGTATATTAGTTATTCATCATATAACTAATGTTTATTCACTTTTCAAAGTATTGTACAATAAATTTTTATTTATTTTACGAAATCACAATACTTTAGATTCATTTGCTGTTTCAAATTTAAATTTTTGTGTTTCTATAGATCAAATCTAAATATTATATGGCGAATATAAGTATTGCAGTTAAACAAGTTAATATCTCTCTATATTATATAGAAGAAAATGAAACAAATTCTACCTTTTACTTTATATTGTAGTATTTTTTTTTTCATTTAATTATATATAATATAAAGATATATTTACTTTTTAAACTGCAATAATTATATTACCGATATCATGATCGGTGAAGCAAATTGTCTTTTATTTGCTTGTTGTTAAGTTTCTATTGAAATGTAATGTAAAATGTAACTTGAACCTTAGTTTGAGTTTTAATTAAATTAAGGTCACTAACCAATTTCTATGCAGATTTGATTGTTTTTTTTTTTTTTATAATACATTCCTTTATTATCTACTATTTACCACTTAATACAAAAATATCAAATGGGAAATAATCTATACAAGTAAATAGAATTAGATACCACAAGAATAATGCATACAAAACTAAAATTGTACCAAGGGTATCGTATATAATCAAGTAATATACTTGGGATATCTCTTGTAAATAAAATAGCCCTTACTGGTTGGAGTAGATAGTACAAGATTTGTTTCCATGTTGCCCAAATTGACGTTCCATACCTAACATTGTAAAATTTACAGCCTCCGATAACTGGGTTTAAAGTTTTATGAGCAGTAAAAATGTAACTGGAAGTTAGTTAAGGGCTTATTTTAGAGCTAGGTAGCAATAAAAATTAAACCAAGTTTGTTAGCAAAAGCTGTAACTAGACCAGGGTTTGAACCGTGTCCTCGTAAAACGTAAACAATGCCATTGGCGTAAAAAACACGAAATAGTATATTTCATCACTAGGGTCTAAAGTTACTCTTTTTGCCCGTGTGGTGAACAATATTTTTCGTCATGTTGCATCATCAATTAACAAAAAAACAAAGCTAGAAATCGAAATTATTTTTTTGTAAAGATAACCTCAAAACGACTTCCAGATTGTTTTCAATCCTACTAATGCAAATAAGCAGCTGTTTAGTAAGATTCAATTATTTCGTCTATTACGGTTGTGTACCAGCGATATATCGAGCAATCGACAACATCAGGCTACAAACTTACGTAATAAATCAATCGGTAAATAATTCGATCGATGCTTTTGCCAAAATCGAAATTTACAACTGTTTACAACAGCTTATTTTTACTTCCTACAGACTAAAAATGATTTTTACTCCCTAGAGACTAAAAAGTATTTTTACTACCTAGAGAGTAAAAATTCGACTTTAGACTCGCAACGCATGCAATAAAAAACGGCATTTTTTATGCAGTGTGACGAAAAAGCCATTTTTACATTATATTCGTATACAAGTTTAATGTCTTATATATTGGGGAGCGAGCTGGACTAGTAGTATAGTGGTATAGTCCTAGTACTTTGGTCCTGGAGGTCCCAGGTTCAAATCATGCCAGTAACTTATGGATTTTATTTAAGTATTGTCGCAACCCACTCTAAATCTAGCCTGAAAAAAATTGGAAAGCAATTCCAGGCTAGTTCCTAGAAATGAATAAAAAATTCATGATATTAAAATCCAACTTCATTTTATTTATAACTTACTTGTGCAATGTAATTAAACAAAGTGTTTAACGAAATTTTCCACGTGTAGTTTGGTCGTATTCAGTTCCTAGAAGGACCGTTTGTTATATGACATCACAGCAAAATACAGCTCAGTGATTTTGTAATGCAAAACTCAAAAGACGCACAGCACTAAGAGCATGTCAGGCGGTATTGGTTTATACAATTATGTTTGCTTACACCTCAAGCATACTGCTGTTTATATCACTTGATTAACATTTTAACGCTACACACGTTACAAATTTAACTGAGACTTTTTTAATGTATTTTTAAATCAAGGTAACAGGAATAAAACTTTGGAAGTACCTTAAACTTGGTTCTGCTAGTAAAATTGAGTACCATAGTGTTTTATGTATACCTATAAAGATATTTTTAAATGTTGTCGTGGTGAAAAGCGTCGTTAAGATATGTACAATAAGTACCGTACACAGATATAATTTAAATGAAACATATCAAGTATTAAGATCTTGTGCAACTCAATCTTATGAAAAATATTTTCCTTTTAATGGTGGCAAGAAACAGCCAAATAATTTATTTATTTACA